CCGTGGAAGTCTGAAAGGGAGGAAACTATTTCCGTCGATGTCGAACTCGAGTGTATAAAAAAGCACGAGAGTATAGAAAAACAGGATTGCTATATCCTCGGCTGTTTTGTTATACCCAAGGGTTGTTTTGTCATACCCTCGTTTTTGCTATACCCTCGGGCTGTTGTCACACCCTCTGGGTCGCTTGCGCCCTCGGCGCTTCTATCGCTTGACGATCACCATCACACTCATCATCGCCACCAGCCTCAGCACCGTCGCTGCCATCGCCGCAGCGGTGGTCGCTATCATGACAGGCTGCCGTGCACGGTTTCCCCTGGGGCCGTAGGCGACCCGAGGAGGAGGAGGAGGTGGAGGAGGTGGAGGAGGGGGAGATGGAGGAGGAGGAGGAGGAGGAGGAGGAGGAGAAGGGAGGAGGAGGAGGAGGAGGAGGAGGAGGAGGAGGAGGAGAAGGAAGAGGAGGAGGAGGAGAAGCAGGAAGAGTAGGGAGAGGGGGAAGAGGACGGGTCGCCTAAGCCCGTCGGAGAAACCCTCCAACAGTGGCACCGCATCCATGGAGTGCGATCTCAGCATCGCGGCGGTCGTCATCCACCCGCCATCGCTATCGTCGTCGGCCTCTGGGAATGGCCACTGGGTCGGGCATGTCCCTCTGCAGCCGGAGCTTGGACGAAAAATATACAGAAACATGTCAAAACGTGAAACAAAAATTGCCACTGAAACTTGTCAAAAATAGTCCCAACTAACGTCCCCTGACTTTTTTTTGTCAATGTTTGAATCTTTCTCCTATAGAGGGACATGCCCGACTTAACATTGCTGGTGACGAGGCCCCGAGGCCCCGAGCCGAGCCTCTGAGAGGCAGGCGCCCTCCTCTCGTCCTGGGTGCCACGGCCGCGAGGGGCCCGACGGCAGTCTGCTGCCGATCGGGGCATGCTGCACGCAACGTCGGGGATCTTCTGACCCAGGTCAATCCAGACCCGGGTCAGTCGGGCCTTGCAGAATCCTGCAAGACCCTGCAAGATCCTGCACCCATACCTGGGTCAACGCGAAGGATCCTGCAGGATCCTGCAGGATCCTGCACCCAAACCCGGGTCAGTGCGACCCTGGCCCTGCAGGATCCTGCAAGATCGGGCGCTCTGGCTGACCCCCGTTTGCGTGGACCCCCGTCCCAAGCCTCCCGACAAGGCCCTGCGTGGCGTGCTCCAGAAACCCTGAACCCAAAAACCTTGCCATCTCCTGGGGGGGGCGACTGTACTTCCGCCGACCCTCCGCCGCCTTCCGCCGAGGAGCAGATGCCAGCGCCGTCGATGACTCGCAGCAGAAGGGCCCGAACCCTTTGGGAGGGGACCTACATCAGGAGGGCCAAAAAATATTAGGGAAAGGGGGTCTTTTCTGCAGATGTACCAAACCAAACCGCCCACGCTCGTCATCTCTAATGCAAGCACGGGGGCACAGGGGCCGAAAGTAGGCTGCGTCTCCAGTGTGTTGCTAGGGTCAGGGCTAGAGAGTCCCAAGGTTTGCCAGGGACTGGTCTCCTGCCACAACAGACGAGACCCCTCCAAAACCGTGCGAAGACCCTCCAGGAAGGGTTCCAAGAGGCTTTGCGGAGGGTCTCGGGAGGGTTTGGGAAGGGCTGCCGTCGCTCTGGGAGGAACCCAGTCCCTGGCGAACCCTGGGCGTTCGAAGGCTGGGACGCTCGATGGTAGCATTGGCGGCGCGCACAGGGTTGGGACCACCGGGGGCGCACGCTGTCCGCCTCTGCGGGGCCTCTTGCCGGGCCGCCTGAGCGGCGGAAGGAACCAGGGTCGATTGCCCGCGCAAGGTCTCGAGCAAGTGCGGTCCCGACCATCGAAGAAGGAAAAACGGCATACGCACAAACTGTTGGCGCTCCGCGCAGATTTCTTGGATCTGGCCCGGACCCCCTGCCTGGCGCGCGGAGCGCGCCAGGGGCGGCGCCGGAGGCGCCGCCAGGGGGAGCCAGCGCAGACCCAAGAAATCCGCGCGGAGCGCCGAAAGTTTATGTTTATGATGTCTTTTCTACTTCGATGGTAGGGACCGCGCTTACTCGAGACCGTACGCGGGCAACTGGCCCTGTTTCCTTCTGCCGCTCAGGTGGCCCAGCAAGAGGCCCCGCAGAGGCGGACAGCGTGGGCCCCTGGTGGTCCCGCGACCCCTTCTCTCGGGGGCCAGCTTTCCATTCCGAGCCTTGGCGGCGCGCGCGGTGTGGTCAGGAGGGAGGGGTGAGGGCGTCTCAGAAGGAGGCTGCTTCGTAGAAGGCGGCGGCCCTACATCTATAGAGAGGGCCCGCGCCTTCTAAGAAGCAGGGGTGCCTCCAAGAAGCCTTCCCCCCTCCCCCATACCCCCCCTTGCGCATGGCGGGTACAAAGGACGCAGGATAAGGATGCAAGGGTCTTGGAAGGCCATGTCGGCACGTTGCGAGCGGGGCGCGACCAGCGAAAGCGGCCAAGGATGGGCCGGAGGGGGAGGATACAATGGTGGCCTTGGAAAGTTGCTCTCATCCTTACTATGCGGGGTTGGCGGTACGCCTCCCAGGCATCCGACGTGCTTATGTCCCGTCGCGGCCCCCAGAAAAAGAAGAATAAGGAGAAGAAGAAGAGGAAGAGGAAGAGGAAGAGGAAGTAGAAGAAGAAGAACTACTGGACAAGTGCCTGGGCCTCGTGAGACCAGGCGAGTGCGGCCTCGGCCTTAGCCTCGAAATGCTACAGCACTTGTTGATACATGCACACGAGACATGTAGCAAGACACCCGGCCAAGGCGAAGCCAAGACAGAGACAGCATCGGACCAGGACAGATCGAGGATCTCTGAGAGTCGGCGGCTCTGAAGGATGTGCTAGGCGCCGCGGCCTTCTCAGGGTGTCCCCGAAGAGGCCCCGACCCGAAGAGGTCAGGACCCTCTCCAAGGGGTGCCCTCTCGCCCCGGCCCATTCTCGACTGCCCCGAGGCCCGACAGCGAGGCCCGGCGGCCAGAATCGGGGAGAGGTGCTCGGACGGAGCAGGCCATGCCGTCGGAGAGCTGGACCGCTGACCAGCGGTTCGAAAGATGGGGTCCTGAGTGGTGGGGCCCCGAGGACGAGGCGCCTCGAATAACGTGATCCACCCTTGGGCCCCCTTCTATCCTTACATCCAACCCGTATGGCAAGGATGCGCGATAAGGATGCAAGGGCCTCGGAGGGCCATTGACGCCAGTCGACGCTAAATCGGCGCGAGCCGACGCTAACCGACGCTAAATCGGCGCTATCTCATCGACTCCCAGACGCTAATCGACGCTAGCCGGCGCTAATAACAGAATTGCGAAGGTACAGAAGGATCCCATGATTTGCTACCGAAGCTCCCTATTGGTTCTGGACAAATTTGGGCGTCATCACCTTTTCGGGCCTCCGACCGCCCAAGACGTCCTAAGAGGCCCCCGAGATCGCCCCAAGGCAGCCCAGAAGGCTGGGACCCAGCTCGTTCACAATCGCGGTGCAGGTCGGTCGGAAGAAGCGAGTATGGACTCGAATCTGGGAGGCGCTTAGAATGACTCGGGCTCCGGCCCGCCCCAGAAAAAAGAAGTGGACAAGGAAGGCGGGCTCGACTCTTGAAGGAGGACGGCGCTCGAGGTACGTTGGGAGCTGCTGCTCCAAACGGACCGTCCAATAACTGCATCAGATACGATAGGAAGGCACCAACTATACACCAACACCGATCCTGGCCAGGATCACCCTGGGCCCAGGATCGGTGTATACGCCCTCCTGCCTTGGGCAAGAAGGCATATACACCGATCATGGGCCCAAGGTGATCCTGGGCCAGGATCGGTGTTGGTGTATAGTTGGTGCCCTCCGATAAGAAGCCAGCCTGCCAGCAGCTGCCCCACAGGAATATATGACCACCTCGATGGCTGGGGAAGGAGCAGACGCCCTGGGTGACAGCGGGGAGCTTAACGATCGACGACACGTGCGCCCCTATATCTCTGATAGCAAGATTCCCGACCGCACGCATGACTCCACATCCAGACCTCCAGGCGTCGCGGGGGAAAAAATACACGACGAGGCGTGCCCACGGGAGCCACGCCTCGAGGGAGGCGCGTCGAGTGCGAAGTGCGCTGGGGAGCTCCTGGGGGGGCCTCCTGGGGGGGCCTCCTGGGGGGGGGGGGGGGCCCTCCTGGGGGGCCTGCTGGGGAGGGACGTCCGCCTCCGGGGGGGCCTCCTGGGGGGGGGGCCTCGCCACGGCGGGAGTCGCCCCCCAAAAAAACTGGGGGGGTCTCGAAACGCCGTGGTGACAGACATTGCGGCGACCTCGAAATCCTCGAGAGTCCTCCTCCCTCCTGCCTCCTTTCTCCTTCCTCCTTCCTCCCACCCACCTCCTTCCTCCTTCCTCCCACCCACCTCCTCCTCCTCCTCCTCCTCCTCCTCCTCCTCCTCCCCCTCCTCCTCCTCCTCCTCCTCCTCTCCTCCTCCTCCTCCTCTCCTCCTCCTCTTTCCTCCTCCTCCTCCTCCTCCTCCTCCTCCTCCTCCTCCTCCTCCTCCTCCTCCTCCTCCTCCTCAAGGCCTTTGAACTACAAGAGCAAATATATGAAAGACCCGTCCCGGAGATGGGGCCGAGAGCTCCAGGCTCCGCGTCTTGAGCACATCACCGCGTCGGAGGCCTGGGGACTGCACTGGCCACAAGTGCCCCTGCAGAAGGGGCCAAGCACCAAAAACGTTCCCTCGGCGACGCGCCGAGGAAGAAGCTGCCCCTCGCGCGAAGCGCGCCAGAACCGCGATGCGATGCGCTCCAGCGCGCGCCCTCTGCGAGCGCCGGACCCGGGCGGGTGGTACTGGGGGGGGGGGGGGCCTGAAGGGGGGGTGAAGAGAAGGGCCCCAAAGGGGCCCTCTAGGACCCCTTTTGAAGCCCCAAACCCCCATGTGGGCCACCCCCTGAAAGGACCATTTGGCATCGTCGTCGTCGTCGGCGCTGTCGCCGTTGTCGTCGTCGTCGGCGGCGGCGTCGGCGTCGTCGTCGTCGCTGTCGTCATCGTGGGCCCGACGGGCGCAGGTCGCAAAGAGTGCCGGCTTCGACGTGGGGCCGCCCTCCCTCGCTCCCGGGCGGCAGCGTGCTGGTGGCGCAGGCGCTCCCACCCGCTCAGGCGCTTTTTTTCTCGGCTGCTGGTAAGGCTTCCTGCAGCACCCGCGGGCCATGTTGGCGTCCCTGTCGAATTGCAAGAACCACGTGTTGGCCACGACCTTCGTGCCCCTGATCACCGCTTGCCCTTCGCGGAGAAAGGAAGATCGTCCACCGCCTTGCCCGCCACCTCCGCTTCCCCCTTACCCTCATTCTGCTCCTCCACCTCCTCCCCCTCTCCCTCCACCTCCTCCTCCTCCTCCTCCTCCTCCTCATCATCATCATCATCATCATCATCCTCATCATCATCATCATCATCATCATCATCATCATCATCACCACCACCACCACCATCATCATCATCATCATCATCATCATCATCAGCAGCATCATCATCATCATCCTCATCGTCGACGACGCCACCCATCATCATCATCGTAATCATCAGCAGCATCCTCATCAGCAGCACCACCATCATCGTCATCATCATCAGTAGCAGCAGCATCATCATCACCAATCACAACAGCAACTACAGCAACATGATCATCAGCATCGTCAACACAATTATCATCATCAGCAGCATCATCATCAGCATCATCATCAGCAGCATCCTAATCAGCAGCATCAGCATCAGCATCAGCACAATCATCACCACCATCATCATTATCATCAGCATCATCATCAGCATCATCAGTATCATTTGCATCATCACCATCATCAGCATCACCATCATCATGGTGATCACTATCACCATCATAATCAGCAGCAGCATCATCAGCAGCAGCATCCTCATCATCATCATCATCATCATCATCATCATCATCATCATCATCATCCTCATCGTCGTCGACGCCACCCATCATCATCATCATCGTAATCATCAACAGCAGCATCATCATCATCAGCAGCACCACCATCATCGTCATCATCATCATCAGTAGCAGCAGCATCATCATCACCAATCACAACAGCAACTACAGCAACATGATCATCAGCATCGTCAACGCAATTATCATCATCATCAGCAGCATCATCAGCATCATCATCATCAGCAACAGCATCATCCTCAGCAGTATCAGCATCAGCATCAGCACAATCATCACCATCATCATCATTATCATCAGCATCATCATCAGCATCATCATTATCATTTGCATCATCACCATCATCAGCATCACCATCAGCATGATGATCACTATCAACATCATCATCAGCAGCAGCATCATCATCAGCAGCAGCATCCTCATCATCATCATCATCATCATCAGCAGCAGCAGCAGGAGCAGCAGCATCATAATCGTCGTCGCCATCATTAGCACCAGCACCACTACCACCAACACCACCACCATCAGCATCATCATCATCATCGTCGTCATCAGCAGCAGCAACATCTGCATCCTCATCATCAGCATCATCATCATCATCCTGATCGTTATCTTCATCCTCCTCATCATCGTCACCATTATCATCAGCATCATCATCATCAGTTTGCACTTCGTCGTCACCGTTATCTTCCTCCACCACCTCATGCCCCTCCTCCTCATCATCAGCACCAGCAGCATTATCAGCATCAGTATCATCAACATCATCATCAGCATCATCATCATCAGCAGCATCATCATCATCGTTATCATGATCAGCGGTAGCAGCATCAGCAGCACCAATCATCATCATCATCATCATCATCGTCATCATCAGCATCATCATCACGATCATCGTCATTATCACCACCACCATCATCATCATCGTCAGTATCGTCATCACAATTCTCATCCTCACCATAATAAGCATCATCAGCAGCAGCAGTAGCAGTTTCATCATCGGCAGAAGCAGCATCATACGCCGCGGACTCCTTCTCCTCCTCCTCCCTCCTCCTGATCCTGCTCCTCCTCCTCCTCCTCCTCCTCCTCCTCCTCCTCCTCCTCCTGCTCCTTCTCCTACCCTCTCTCCCGCCGACCCTCCCTCCTCATCCTTCTCCTCCTCCTCCTTCTCCTCGTCCTGCTGCTCATCCTTCTCATCTTCCTCCTCCTCCTCCTGTCGTCCTCCCGCTCCTCCTCCCTGCCTCCTCCTTCTCATCCTCCTCCTCCTCCTCTTTCTCCTCCTCCTTTTCTTCCTCCTCCTCCTCCTCATCCTCTTCCTCCTCATCCTCCTTCTCCTGCTCCTTATGTGTCCTCCTCCATCCTCCTCCCCCTCCCCCCGCGCGCGAGGGGGGAGGAGGGGGAGGAGGGAGGAGAGAGGATGAAATGACGATGAACAGAGCATTAGGCCGGATGTGGAAGATGAGGGAGACGAGGGGACGCGGAGAACGAGGGACAGAAGGAGTGGGAGGTCAGCGATTGCCACAGGTGGTCCTGGTCCAATGTGGCCCCCAGCTTCTCGCGCCATTTTGGAGCCCCTGGGTACCTCCTGGCCTCTTAAGGAGTGCACTGGAGACCACCTGAGCATCCTGGACAACCTGGCAACACCCAAGGAGAATGCACACGGGCTGGTAAGGCTCGGGGCTGCGCACAGAAAGCCCTCCAGGTGGTCATGGCTGGCTTCGGCAGGCCCCGCAAGTAGCCCAGGGCGGTCTCAACCCACCAGGGGCGCCCCTGGAGGCGACGCCGGGGTATTGAGGCCAGCCCAGACGCCCTCCCCTGGGGTAAAGGACGACCGCCTCGGGCCCGACCGTCCCATCCGGCGTGCGTGCGTGCGTATGCGCGCGTGTGTGATGTGTGTGATGTGTGCGAGTGTGAGTGTGAGTGTGAATGTGAGTGTGAGTGCGAGTGTGAGTGTGAGTGTGAGTGTGAGTGTGAGCGTGCGAGTATGAGTGCGATCATGTGTGAATGTGTGTGTGTGTGTGTGGGGGTGTGTCTGGGTGTGTGGGTGTGTCTGGGTGTGTCGTGTGTGTGTGTGCCTGTGTGGCGCGCGCCGCTGCCGCTCGAGCGCCGAGCCCGCCCCGCGACTCCGTGGGGGGCTGCCCGTGCGCAGCTCGGAACCTCACCAGCGAGGGCTCGGCTTGGCCCCGGGGCCGCTTTCCCGAGGCCGCGCCCTCGTGCATGGTGCGGACGTCCTTCTCCAGGGGCCGGTCGCCCCAGGTGTCCGCCCACACGACCGCGCGGCCAGCCTCGGGCAAGCGACGACGACGACAACGACGACAGCGGCGACGGCGACGGCGGCGGCGGCGATTCAAAACGACGGCAACAACAACAACAACAAAAAAAAAAACATCGGAAATTTTCGGCGGCATTCGGCGGCTCCGAGGAGGTGGGGTCCCGGCCCCTGGCGGGGCGCCCCTAGGCTGGGGAGCCACCACCCGAAGCGCCCCCAAGAAAAAGTCCCAGAATGGCGCAGGTCTCCCAACCCCGCCCGTCCGACGCGAAGACTGGGGGCAGACAGGAATGGCAGAAGAGGGGAACGATGAGGACAGAGGACGGAGGACCGACGAGGAAGAGAAGATGAGGAGAGATGATGCGGCGATTTAAAGAAGAGGAGGAGGAGGACGAGGAGGAGGAGGACGAGGACGAGGAGAATGAGGAAGACGAGGAGGAGGAGGAGGAGGAGGAAGACTTTTCGTTGGCCTCGCCCTCCCCCCCTTTCCTTTTTGAGCCCTGGAGGCGTCCTCCCTCCCCCCCCTCTGGCCTGGGCGGGGTCCGTGCGCGCGTGCTGCGTGTTCGGCCTCGCTTTTGCCTTGCGCGTTCGGTTCGCTCGCCGTCGGCGCGTTCGTGGCGTGCTCGGCACACGTCCGTGCGCGCATGCGCGGTGCCCGCGCGCGGGCGCGCGCTCGGGCGCCGCGGGGCTACGCGGAGACCCGCGAGCGGCCCGCAGCGGCAGGAGGAGGACGAGGAGGGGGGAGGAGGAAGAAGTAAGCGGGAGTAGGAGGAGGGAGGAGAGGGAGGAGGAGGAGGAGGAGGAGGAGGAGGAGGAGGAGGAGGAGGAGGAGGAAGAAGAAGAGAAGGAGAGGTGGAGGAGGACGAGAGGGAGGAGAAAAAGAGGAAGGATGAGAGAGAGAAGCACAAAGATAACAAAAAAAACAATGACAATATGTTTGTTATATTTGTTTTCATTGTTTATATATATAAATCCAAAAATACTAATAATAATGATCATATAAAGAAAGAAAAAACGCAGTGGGCGAGAGGGAGGCGATTGGGACGGGCCAGACTGTACCCACGATGCCCCCAAGCAGTCCCACGGTAACGCACGTCCCCCATACTCGCACGAGAAAGCGCAGCGGGAGAAAGCAAAAAGAGGAGACGGATCCTTTGACATCCATTGCATGGCTGCGCATGGCCTCGCGTGAACGCTGGCAAACATTGCACGCCTCGCACGGGGAAGCGCCCCCTGAAAGGCATGCGAAATCAAACGCCAAGGCCAGAGGGCACAAACCTCTTGCTAGGCCACGAAACTACATCAAGGTGCAGAAATGTCAGCCTCACACCTGATGCGGCGCTCTGTCGGGGGGGGCGCAAAAAAGAACGCACTCCAGGGAACGCTGGCAAAGACCCAAGTCCCTAGAGAAGGCCTGCGGAAGACCAAACACGCAGCAGCATGGTGGGCCCCGACCAAAAAAAGGGGCAGCAAAGAAAGTGAAGCCCACCCGACGACCACGAGGCCGCAGGCTAGGCTTGCCCCTCAAATCGTCGGTCCGAGCCCTCTTCGCCAGAGGGACGTGGCGCCGCGACGAGAGGACCCAAGTCCTACTCCACACGGAGCGACTCTGCCACCAGCCTCAAGGCCTGCCTGGAAGATTGGCCCGAGCTGGTGGCCGCCGTGAAGGCGGGGGAAACGGTGGGAGCACCTCCCGTGGCCACAGTGCTATTTCAACCCTGAACAGAAGAGGCGGACGCGGCAGCAGCGATGGGACCACCCCCCGGAGGCATAGCGACACTTCCACCCAGAACAGAAGCAGCGGACGCGGCATCCGAGATGGGAGGCGTTCTCCCGAAGATTCAGCGCCACGCCCACCCGACCCAGAACCAGCAGACGCGGCCTGGAAGGCGCCGAAGCACTGCACAGCTCTCGGCGCCCACAGCGACCCCGATCGTTGAGAGGCGCGAGGCAATCCCCGGCCGTAAAAAAAATCAGTGACCAGGTGTCTGCGGCAGCTCACATCTCCAAAAATGCAAAGCCCCTACCGCCCCGGGCCCACGGCTCGCCCAAAACCAACTCAGCCTGAAGCGTGCTGCCCCCCGCATTAGGGCGCGGAAACAAGCCCCCAGGGCGGGGGGGGGGGCCTGGCCAAGAGAAAAAGAACCTCGGGGTCGGATATGTCCTTCGCCAAGAGCTCCCCAGATGATCGCAGGCTCGACCAGTTCCCACCCCCAGCGAAGCAGCTGCACTGCATAAACACTTCCACGGGCGATGAAACACTGCGCCCCCGATCTGCACACAACGGGCGCGCATCATCGACCCGCCGGGGCCCCGCCTCGATCGCCCCCGAGCGCGCCCTGGGCGCCTCGCACGCAAGACGGAGCATCGATCTCCCCCTTCGGCGGGGGCCCGAGACAGACGAAGACAGTTCTCGACCACGCCAAGACTAGAGGAAAGAGAAGTATGCACATGCACCGATTCTGGCCAGGCCCATCCTGAGCCCAGGATCGGTGCATACGCCCTCGTGCCTTGGCCAGGAAAGCCTATGCACTGATCCTGGGCCAAGGATAGGCCTGGCCAAGATCGGTGCATGTGCATATGTCTCTTCGCCCGAAAGACAGGGCTCGCCACTCCACGCCCCGCGCTTGCAAGCGGCCCCCCCCCTCTCCAGGGGCCGCGCGACCGCCTGGGTGAGACATCTTTCTGACGCGGGCCGCAGCGACTCTGCGAACCCACTCACAATCGCAACCAACTCATTCTCCTCCTCGTCCTCCTCCTCCTCCTCCTCCTCCTCCTCCTCCTCCTCCTCCTCCTCCTCCTCCTCCTCCTCCTCCTCCTCCTCCTCCTCCTCCTCCTCCCAAGGAGAGGGAGAGCCGCACGGCCGCGACGGGGCCCCCAGCCCGCCCCCACTCCGGGGCAGCTGCGCCACAGAAAGGAGAACGCCAAACAGGACAAACATGGGCCCCAACCACCGCGAAGCTGACCCCGAGCGAGAGCGCCAGGGCAGGCACCTGCGCACATCGCCAGCACGCGTCTCTGGCGGACTTGACGATGAGCGCCGCCGCGCCGCGCCAGAGTGGGCCACCGTTACAGACAGAGGTAAAGGCGAGAAACCAGCCCTGAGCTCCTGCATGCATCATCATGCCCGCCTGCTTCCAGATCCTGAGTCGCTCAAAATCAAATCAATGTTTTATTTATTACCAACAGCGAAGACTGATAGGTTTCTAGTGGGGTCAAAAGAGAGCATCATGACTCCTCAGGGGGGTCGGGGCGGGACCCGGAGCGGGACCCGGCGCGGCTGCCGTCCAAGCCCAAATCGCTTAGGACATCCTCGCAAAATCGCTCTTCGCGCTGCTAGAACTCCATTCCCGGCGTACATTTTGGATGCCCGGAGTCAACTGTAGGCCACTTCGTGCTCTTCGACTTCCCAGAACTCCATGATGCCCGGAGCCAACTGTAGGCCACTTCGTGCTCTTCGACTTCCCAGAACTCCATTCCCGGGCCACATTTTGGATGCCCGGATCCAACTGTAGGCCACTTCGTGGTCTTCGAGTTCCCAGAACTCCATTCCCGGGCCACATTTTGAATGCCCGGAGCCAACTGTAGGCCACTTCGTGCTCTTCAAGTTCCCAGAACTCCATTCCTGGGCATGATTTTGAATGCCCGGAGCCAACTGTAGGCCACCTCGTGTTCTTCTAGTTCCCAGAACTCCATTCCTGGGCCACATTTTGAATGCTGAGGCAGGCTGATGCTGCGGCCGAGGCAGGCTGAGGCTGAGGCAGGCTGAGGCTGAGGCCGAGGCTGAAGGCAGACTGAGGCTGAGGCTGAAGCAGACTGAGGCTGAGGCTGAGGCAGGCTGAGGCTGAGGCTGAAGCAGGCTGATGCTGAGGCAGGCTGAGGCTGAGGCTGAGGCTGATGCAGGCTGAGGCTGAGGCAGGCTGAGGCTGAGGCCGAGGCTGAAGGCAGACTGAGGCTGAGGCTGAAGCAGGCTGAGGCTGAGGCTGAGGCAGGCTGAGGCTGAGGCAGGCTGAGGCTGAGGCTGAGGCAGGCTGAGGCTGAGGCTGTGACTGCGACTGCCGTTGCCACTGCGACTGTCATCGCGAATGCGACTACGACTGCGAGAACAGCAGAATTCTACAACTGGATTCTCATCTGAATCTGAAGGGGAATGCTTCCAGATATGCTCCTACACATCGCTGTTAGGTTGCTTTGCCGGGATAATTGTTTTGAATATGTATATAGTGTTTTTGTTATGTTCTCATATATATATAAGAGAGAAAGGGGGCCATGGTAGACCCTGGAGAGCCCCCCCCCATGGCCCAGACCCTCGCGGTGCACTAGTCAAGGCTACAACTCATCTCAACAAACTTCTTAGCCGTCTGCTCACGACGCCCGACCCTGACCCGAAACATGAAGCCCACGCGGACAACCTCCCCGGACATCCCCGCGCCTGCGCCAAACCCGCGGTCGGCGGCTTCGTCGGTGGCTGGGCCCGCCCGGGGCCCTCCAAAGGACCGGAGCTGCTTGGAAACCTCGGCGCTGCCATTGACCAAGGCCGCCTTGCCCCTGGAAGCGCTCGCCAAGAATCGCGCCGAGGAGCTGCTGGCTGGCTGACTTCAAACCGTCGACCGCCCAGGAGACTGAACCTCAGCCGACGCTCCGCCATCGTCTACGCATAATTCCAAACGCACACCATTTCAAATTGGATACGACTGAACGCCCCGACGGCGTAGACCATCACAAACGAGGCGCCGAGACCACCACCACCACCGACCGCGCACTTTTCCGCATGGCGACGGCCAGAAACATACCCAGCTAGGTACACAGAACCCGCACAGCTGCAAGCAGAAGTTGCCAGCCTGGAGGTGGCCCTGGGGAACCTGGAAAAACTCGCACTGCTTCCTCTGGCCGGACTGAGCTGGCCCCATCGCAAAACCTAGCCATGTCCCACGGAGTGGGCGCGCTCTCGCGCCCTTTGCCCAATCCCCCGAGACTGTCCCCAGTTCTGAGAAGCCATTTAAATCCCTGGGTTCA